AAAAAAAAAAAAAAAGACACAGCATTTACAGAAGAGGAAACTGAGGCTAAGAGAAGATAACAGCTTGCCCAAGGTCAGGGCTGAGACGTGAAGCCCAGGGGCTGCGTTTACTCACCCCGTGGCTGAAGGCGATGATAATCAGGGCCAGGCAGGCGATGACGGCCACCAGCAGGAGCGTGAGCAGCAGCGGCCCGTGCTGGCTGGTGAGCCGGTACTTCTCGTAGAGTGCATCTTGGTCAGGGCCCTCCTCACCCTCGTTGAGGAAGTATCGGCCCTTGGCCGGCATTCTCCACCGTCAGCAAACGTGTCCACCGGCTGTTAAGGAGGCCCCAGGGCCTGGAGGGCATCTGTCTGCCAACAGCCTCCCAGTGGGCCTATGCCTCTGGCCTCTCCAAGGCCGGCAAGCGGGGCTGGGGAGGGGGCCCCTGGGCCTGCTGCTCCATGGCCAATGAGAGGTCTGCACAGCTCCGGTGCCAGGCCTCGCTCACTGTGCCGCTGGCATCCTCCTGTGCATCCAAACTGGGCTGACTCCACACACGGTTACTCTGCAGAGACCAGAACTTGACCTAATGGGCAGAGTCAGGGGAGGGCTGGCATCAGGGAGAGCGGGGCCCAGGCCTCACAGCTCCGCATCCGATTTATCCATCTTAACCCTACCCTAACTTTTATGCCCTGTTGTCATAAAGCTAGTTCCCTGTGTCTTCTAGAACTGCACTGTCCAAGACAGTAGCCACTAGCCGCATGTGGCTGTTCTCTTTTTCAAGGTAGGGTCTCACTCTGTTGCCCAGGCTGGAGTGCAGTGGCATGATCATAGCTCACTGCAGCCTCAAACTCCTAGCCTCAAGTGATTCTCCCACCTCGGCCTCTTGAGTAGCTGGGAATACAGGTGTGCACCACCACACCCCAAGCTAATTTTTAAATTTTGCTTTGTAGTGGTAGAGTTTCCCCCTGCTGTCCAGGCTGGTTTTGAAGTCCTGGGCTCAAGCAATCCTCCTGCCTCAGCCTCCCAAAGTGCTGGGATTACAGGCAAGAGCCACCATGCCTGGCCATTATTTTAAAGTAAATTCAAACTAATTTAAAATAAAATTAGAAACTCAGTCCCTTGGTCACACTAGCCACATTTCAAATACCAGGTATGGTGGCTCATGCCTCTAATCCCAGCACTTTGGGAGGCTGAGAAAGGCAGATTACCTGAGATCAGAAGTTCAAGACCAGCCTGACCAACATGGTGAAATCCTGTCTCCACTAAAAATATAAAAATTAGCTGGACGTGGTGGCATGTGCCTGTAATCCCAGCTACTCGGGAGGCTGAGGCAGGAGTATCGCTCAAACTCGGGAGGCAGAGGTTGCAGTGAGCTGAGATTGTGCCATTGCACTCAGCCTGGGCAACAGAGCAAGACTCTGTTGCAAAAAAAGAAAAGAAATACTCAACAGCCACGTGTGACTGGTGGCTGCTGTACTGGCCAGCACAGATACACAGAGCATGTGTGTTATCACAGAAACTTCTACAGGCCAGCTCTGCTCGGCACATTTCACTTTTTGCTTTCACACAAAGGTCTCTGATCCATCTCAATTCACTCTGGATATGGTGTGAGGTAGGGATCAAGGTTCATTTCTTTTTTCCACATGGATATTGAACTATCCCAGCACTGTTCAGTGAACTAGCCATCCTTTCCTAACTGAATTTCAGTGGAGCCACCTCTGTCATAAATCAGGTGACCACACAGTTGAGATCTGTTTCCAGGCTCTGCTCTGTCCCCATGGTCCTGGTACAGACACCACATTCACTTCATTTTCTAGTGAGTCTCACATCTCCAGGCCCAGAGGGTTCCAAGCTGTGATCCTGGGAGCTCTGGGATTTGGGGACATGCCTCAGGGCCCCAATGGGAAGGGAAGGGAAGGGGCACAGGCTGAGGCCCCGACACCCCTTTTCAACCAGAGCAGCCCCTGCATCTGTTGCAGAAGCTCCACATAAAACAGCATTTTTTCTTTTCTTTTCTTTTTTTAATGGGGTTTCACTCTGTCACCCAGGCTGGAGTGAAGTGGTGCAGTCATGGCCTGCTGCAGCCTCAGCCTCCCTGGGCTCAGGCAACCCTCCCACCTCAGCCTCCTGTGTAGCTTTGCAGCAATAACAGGAGGCTGAGGTAGGAGGATTGCCTGAGCCCAGGGCGGCCGAGGCTGCAGTGGGCCATGTATTTTTTTGTAGAGATGGGGTTTCACCATGTTGCCCAGGCTGCTCTTAAACTCCTAGGCTCAAGCGATCTACCCTCCTTGGCCTCCCAAAGTGTTAAGATTACAGGCATGAGCCACTGTATCTGGCAAAGATCTTGTTTTCTTAAAAGAGTCCACTGATGCAAATTTCAGATATCTGCAAGCCTTGCTTCACAGAAAAGGCAGCTGAGTCTCAGAGAGGGAAATAGAGGCCCCTTTGTGACAAAACTGTGAGCTGACCCCAGGCTTGCCATGCTCAGCCCATGTGGGCTCCTTTTTACCCCAGCACCATTCATTCATTAGCACATTCATCTATTCCAAAAAGGCTTGTGAGTCACACCTACGCCGGCCAGCCTCTACACCTCCTGTGTGCTAGGCTGGGCTCTTCCTCCCCAGAGATCCCCATCAGTCTCCAAAGGAAGGAAAATTACCAAAAATGTGCAATCCCTCACACAGCAATAAGGACTTGGGGACAGCTGCCATATTTCCAGCAGGAACCTGTGTGAAGGGGGCGACCCTGGACCAAGAGTCCAGGCGCCCAGCGTCCTCCAGGCCTGCCTTGGATTCGAATCAGGACATGGCCAGAGGCAGAGGGCAGAGGGCAGGGAGGCTGTGAGACACAGGATGGCTCAGGGCAGTCACAGGGCACAAGTGGCCAGCCACCAGTGGAAGCTTCAAAGGACAGCTGGTCCAGCACAGGGAAGGTGGCCAGGCAAGCCCCCAGCCCCAAAGGCAAAAAAGCAGAATATCCAAGGTCCCCAAGTCTAAAGGAAGCCCCCACAACCAGCGCTCGCTACTATTAGATCCCTGGGGCCACCTCAATTCCAGAAGCCACCTCAGGCTCTATTTCCCCTGGAAGTTCCTATTCCATCACCACACACCAGGGGCAAAATGGAAAAACCACATATTCGGGGGAGGAGGATGGGGCCATTTGTTTCGGGGCCGTGGCTCCTTTAGTGCCTGGGCAGGTGTCTACAGGCCTTGGCACCTGTTCAACACTTCGGGGGTCTGGCCCAGAGCTGTCAAAGTGTTCAAACTACAAATCTGGTTTCTACATGAAATAATGATTTTTTTAATGTTGGCGGCTGATTTCAAATTTTTCAGTGATTGCAACTCACTAGTTTACAACCTCTAAATGTAAACTAATCAGTCTATATTCCACAAAAGGCATGTGTTGTGTGCTAACCATATACATCCAAACCTGTGCTGTGGGGTTTGCCCAACAAGATAAGGTCCCTGCCTGAGATGCATCCAATTCAGCCTCCCCTCACCCCAAAATAGCCCTTTGCAGTAATAGCAGCAGCAGCTCCTGTCACCCCGGCACCTGCACACACATTCACTCTCATCTTCACAACAAGTAAAGGTCAAGGTGGCACCACCGTTTCACAGATGCAGAACTGAGCCCAGAGTGGCAGAGTGATTGCCTAAGATCACACAGCTGGAGCTGGTGGGTGGATGGGCTGGGATTCAAACCCGGGTCTGCCAGCTCCCAAACCAGCACTCCACAGCCCAGGCTCCCTACCTGACATCCTGGGAGACTGAGCCAGATGCCACAGCACACAAACAGCAACCTCGCCTGCCCCCGGCCTGAGGCCAAACACCAGTGCACCAGGACGGCCAGGTTGAGAAGCTCCAAACACCAGAGGGCTGAGGCCACTCCCCACAGCTGCTCCGTCCCCCGGGCAAAGTCCCCACACCAGAGCTGAGGCGGCCAGACACAAGCATGCAAGTGCAAGTGTGAGAGTGTGTGGATACACCCACTCCAGGCACACAAAGCCAGGCTGGGCCACCACAAGGAGAGGGAGGAACCAGCTGAGAGGGTCCCAAGGGCCCGTGGGGACCCAGGCCAGGCAGACATGCCTCTCAAGGATTTCATTAGGCCACTTCCCGGGCAATGGCAGGCAGGGGCAGGTAAACAGTGAACAGCATGGGCACAAGGACTTTGGCCCATCCAGGGACCTTGGCCCGCTCCTGGAACAAGCCGGGTAGTGTCAGGCCTGGGAGGAATGACCTCACTGATCACATCTCCAGACGGGCCCCAGGAACCCACCACCAGTGGCATGTCCCCAGGCCAGCTCCTCCCTAGGAGCTACCGCCCCAAAGCCAGACCCAGAAGCACCCCCTGCCTGGGAAGTTTTCAAGGCCCCCTGTCCAATCACCAGTTCTTCCACCTGCCCTTGACTCAGTTGGCAATGGGGAGGGCCTCCCCACAAGGCCCTGGATGAAGGAACCCTTCTGCCTTGTCTTAGATGCATCCAATCTGCTTCTGCCATGTCTGAGATGTCTGAGATGCATCCAATCCAGGGTCCCCTGGATTGAATGACTCTGCCGTTGGCTCGCACACCTGCTTGCTAACAAATGACCCTGCTGTTAGCTTGCACACCTCTGTAACGGGCAGCTCACCACCTGTCAGGGCAGTCTCCTCCATCACTGGGTACTTTTTCTGGCCCTGAGTCCTCCCTTAGCTCAAGGCAAGCCCTGCCTCTCTGTTACTCTCTGACCCACACCCCACGGGTCCTGTCTGAATTCCAAAGCCAACAAGAGCAGAGCTATGCCCTTGGGCAGGTCAAGTCCCCACTTCCTGAGGAGGCTGCAGTCCCGGGATCCCTCACTTGTTCTCACCTCACGACCACCCCAGTAGTAGAGCAGGGTGAGCAGCCCCATTTTAAAGAGGAGGGGACTCCACTGTGGGGGAGGGGTCCAGATGCGGGGAGGGTGTTTCATGCTTCTGCTGCGCAATGTCCCCTCTCCTGATCCTCGGTACCCTGGCTCAGGGGCCACATGACCCCGGTGTGGCCCATCAGCAAAATCCCTCCCAAGCCCCAGTTCCACAGGCCTGGGAAGTGAGGGCTCTTTTCGGACTTCTGCTGACCCAGGGAAGGAGGCGTTCTCTTTTGTCGGTGGCCTGGCACTGCCAGCAGACACCTGAGCCACCACAAGGAAAGAGTCCGCCTGAAAATGACACCAACATGGAGAACTGGCACGAGACACGAGCCTGGCAACACCCACTAGAGCCACTGGAGCCAGCTGAGCCTGAAGCTTACGCAACCTCCAGACATTTAACCACACAGGACAAGCAAGGCCCCTTTCAGCTTCAGCCAGTTTGAGCTTCTGTCACTAGCAACCAAGAGTCCCAAAGTCCACGTGGGGCTTCTGGACCCAGGCTGTTGTGTCTGGGAAGCAGCCACGGCCCCTCAACGGGCTCCAAGTCAAGTGGGAGGGTCCCAGTCAGCACAGAGGTGACATGCGCCCCTGCAGACACAGCCAGTCCTGCAGAAAAGAGCTGGGCCCAGGAAGGGACAGCCCCGCTCATCCCTCCATCACACGTTCCAGGCTCCACAGCCCAGGCCCAGCC